GGGATATCTTCTGCAGAGGATTCCCACAGTTCCACAGGAACAGTTCCACCATGGAACCAGCTCAAAGCAAGCAACAGTTCGACGGAACGCCACAAGTTGCCAGCACCCATCTACAAAGGTGCAAACCAAGGTCCACATCAAGAAAGCACACATTCATGTACAACAAGTCACGGCCATTCGATTCCAAAAGAAAGGAGGCCGTGATGAAGAAGAAGCTTCCCCACTGGGAAGAAGAGGATTCAATCCTCTGGAAAGACAACAGCAGGACATCCAACTTCTTGGACATCCACTTGACATCCAACAAGAAGAGCAGCTCACGTTCCATTCCATGGACAACAAGCTGACTCCAGATAGCTACCAAGCTATTGCACAGACTCATGCTCCACCTGATTTCCAAATCCATATCAAGCCTGAATGGATTGATGTTTCACACATCATTGGCGATTGAGACCATGGCATATTCGATGTCCAGTTCAGTCACACCGCCAGTCAAGAGCACAGTTTGAGTCTACGAGAATGCAGCCGGACTTCCTAGTTTCAGCTACGCAATACCAAGGACCGGAACTCCCAGTCCACGGTTCAACAAGTGATCGGAACTTCCAGTTTCGAATACAGCAAACATCAAGTGACGGCACCAACCGCCACAGCAAGTCATAAGGAGTGGCAACACCACTCACAGGAGTGATGGCCACAGTGGCTTTTCATGACGACACTGTCCACATGTCCACATTGACTGTGACAGATTTGTCAGCACTGCTATGGATGACAAGCTTCTCGCCACCAAGCGGAATGCCGAACAACCTAGCAAGCGGTCTCTCGACCAACAACTGTTCCTTATGGAGCAACCATCATTACATTAATTATTCGTTCCACGGTATCCTTTATGGAACTGTGCAGGAGTGTGTTGGAGGTTGTATTACAGACACCTCAATACAAATTATCGTTTATCCCAATCTAGTTTAGCGGGGATATCTATATCTATTCTCTAGTTACATACATGGGGAGTTTAACTGATCTATATGGTCACCCCTTCACTATATCCTTTGAAGTTGAATCAATCCCAGAAAACATGGAGAAAGATCACTTCTTGGAAATAGCTTAACAGTAAAACAGTATTTTACCTTTACTAAGCTAGAGTGTTACTAGCAACTAACAACGTGCATCCCGCAGGCAGCACAACGTGGTAACGGTGCCGAGCCTTCGTTGCGGATACACAGGGTATGGTCCGGGTGCTTCCGCATGAAATGCTGCCGCATTCCATTCATTGACGCAGGCTGACCCGGGCAGGAGGGAACGGGGCAAGGGCAGGGGCGCTTCTTCTCAGTTTTTGGCCATTCGATGGTGTAGGAGGTGGGTCGTTGGGGTTCGGGGGGCTCCTCATCAAGTGTGTCCAGCTGCTCCATGTGGTGACGAGCATGTAGGTGGGCCTTGAGGGAACCCGTTGCCAGAGTCTCATCGCATTCTGGGCATTGAACGTGAAGGCGCTGGCGGGCACCATAACTCAGCCCAACACCTGTCATACGACGCCTATAAGCATAGGGTGAAATTTCCACATGTTCAGCGCCAGGGAAACAGATCATCGCTTTTGTTTTCTGTACGTTGGTGTGGAGGCCAATGCGACGAAACAAACCAATGAGAATGTCCAGAGCATTCTGCAGCCAAGGTGCGGCAGTGGCCGAAAGAAGACCGTCATCAGCGTAAAACAAAGTTAGCCGATCAGCAACAGTAACTCCAAATCCTTCCTCAGCAATATCTCCGTTGTCGTCAACCTCGGTGGCGAGCCACTCTCGAAGGACGGCATCGACGGCAATATTGAATATTGTAGGGGACGGGATTCCACCTTGGGTGACACCTCGGGAAGCTTTGAAGGCCTCACCATGGAATCCACTCTGGCGTGGGACAATGGTTTGGTCACGCCACCAAGTTTCCAGAAGACTCAGGCAGCGTGGTCCAACTCCGTATTGTCGTAGAGTCTCAATTAAGCGGGGACGGTCAATGTTGTCGTAAGCTTTCTTCAAATCTAGAAAAATTTGAAACAGTGGAATTCCGCGAATGTGTGCCAGCTCTTGTTGCAGTTTAGCTTCAATTATGGCAGTGCCAGTTCCGCGCTTGCGGGTGAAACCGTGGAGACAGTCGTGGAACGACACCTGGCTGGAGATTCTGAGATCAATAATCTTCTCACAAATTTTCCATGCATGTTCTATGAGTCCAATACCCCGAGCTCCGCCATCTGGCTTCGGAAGGACGGCTTGGTTGGAATTTCGCCTGTTCTGAAAATGTACTGGACGAGCTCAACTAATTTGTTCCAATGCTCCGGTTCTGCTGGTGGTGGTTTGTCATCTGAATTACGAGAGCTTCGGTGGAACTCCTCTGGAAACGCTCGCTTAATCCATTCTTTGAACGTATCTGCAGTGAGTTTGGACGGACCAGCGGCTCGATGGTTGCGTAGCTTCAACGTGGCGGCTTTGATTTCTTCTTCATCCGGAATGTCATCGCGAATGTTGGCTGGGGTAGCAAGGACAGGGACTGGGTCTCCCGGAGGGCATGGAGTTTCGGCGGTATACAAAGCTTTGAAATCATCAACCACTTTTGTAAGGTCTTTTCGGCTGGGCTTTTGAGGCCGGTCTCCCATATGCCGGTACCAGGTTTTGAGCACACCATAGGATGCCTGCAAGTCCTTCGAAGGGCCTTCAAGGTGGGCTTGAATTTCTTGGCCAGCAGCTTCAGTGCGTCGCTGTCGATCTCGTTTCAGCAGAGAGTTGATTTGTCGTGTGAGGCGTCTGGCTTCTGCTTTGTCGTGGTTAGGGTTGCGCCGTAGGGAGCAGCGCGTGTCCATAACTTTCAGTGTATCGGGGGCAATCCAATTGGGACGCTTCTTGCGGGTCTGTAGTTCCGGAGGGGGACACTGGGCTAGAACTTGTTCAAATAGGGTGTCAGCTTTCCGCAGTGGGCCAAACTTGGCAAAGTTGAGAGGAAATTGTTTGCGACCTTTCAGGTAGCGTTTATGACTCCGGGTGGGCTTGACCAAGTAGCGGGCCATCAGCATGTAATGGTCCGAGGTGTAGTGCCGGGGGTTCTTGATGCTGATGGATTCAAAGAGGCGTCGATCGGTGCCCAGAATGTAGTCGCAGCGGGATCTGTAGGTGGTGTTGGTATCCGATCGGTATTGGAACCACGTTTTCCTGTGGGTGAAGTGTTTTCGTTGCACAAAATGTTGAAGGAAGTCTTCCATGCCGTAGGTAGCTAGAACGGAGTGAACCTGACGGGAGCGGTTGGTGGTGAGGTTAGACAGGTCTACATTAAGGTCTCCGAGGAGGATTGGTTTACTTTTGGGGAAGCGTTCAAAGGCTTCAATCAGGTAGGGCACATCGTCTAAATTTGACGGGGGAAGGTAGGCTCCGATGAGTGGGGTATGTTGGGAGCCAGATGCAAGGATGCAGGATAGAACATTCGGGCCATGTCAACGGGTAGATTCCACATGCCAATTGTTGGGGGCAGGTTCAGCTTGGACATAGAGGGCAAGGCCACCTTGGTTTTTGTTTGTTGTGTAGGTGCAGAAAATATCGTAGCCACAAGCGTGCCTTAGTGTGAACTTCGTTGGGAATTTTGGCTTCCGTGGCGAGGCAGAGGCCAACTTGTTGTTCTTCAAGGTTGCGAGCTAGTAAAGTGAGTCGATTGTTGCGGCCATCTTGCATGTTATTGTAAGTGGCGAGTTTAACTCCAGGAGGTTTGTTTGGTTTCCTGTTTCGGTTGGTGCATTGGTTGGATGCTTTTGATGCTTTGGCTCGTCGTTGTTGTTTGAGTTTTTGCCGGCGGTGGTGACGGGATTTGGTGACCGTTGTAGAACGTTGTTGGCTATAGGAATGTGGCTCGTAGGTTGGGGCTTGATCAAGCAGGGTGGCTTTACTGTTGTACTCTCCATGTGGTTTGGGCACACCACTCGGTGGTGGTGGCAGGTGGAGTGAGGTGGTTTCCCGGGAGGACTCGGATGAATCAAAAAGGGGCAAAGGCGAGTGGGATCGCCCATTGTTTGGCTGCAAGGGAATGGAATTGTGCTGTAGGTTTCGTTGGCGTCGGTATGGCTGTAATTGTCGTCTGAGGTTGGATCCAGGGAATTGAGGTCGGCCTTGTGGTTGCCGGAGTGGACCAAGGTAGGTTGGTCTTTGTGTTGGCTGGGCTGGTTGGCTGCCTGGTTGGTTTCTAAGGTGGCTGAAAGAGTAGTTCAGTTGGCGGTCCTGTTGGTGGGGAGTTGCTGGTGTATTACCCATGGTTGTTGGTGTAGCTAGTTAGCTAGTTGCTAGCAGCTAGAGTGTATCTGTGCTGGAAAAGCTTCAAAGAATTCTGGATAGAATTTCCCACGGGGAGAGCAGATCGGCTGAGGTACGGCTGAGAGTTTCCTACCGAGAGAGATTGGCTGGGGCTGCCGGATCGGTCGAGAACAACCCAGAGAGATCGGCTGGGGCTGCCAGATCGGTCGAGAACAATTGATTGGTCCACAACAGCGAGAAGGGGAGCAGGAAGAACGTCCAGACGGTTTTGGTAGAGTTTCTACAGAGGAGAACAGAGACAATGGCAGAATTGCCGTTGCTGCTCCAGAGGAGCAACAACAAGAGAACAAACTCCAACAAGTGTATCAATGAGTTTTCTAATAGTAGTGGAAGCAGTGTGGGTAGTAACGGTGCAAGATTCTGTCTAGCAATGGCAGTGTATTATACCTGCTCCACTTGCCACGTGGAGGGGTAGATACCTGTGTCGGTACCCATTTTCCTGTGCGAACAGTGTTTGTGGCGCCTGGATTGACAGTATTCATGTACTCATTGTAACGGTGAGGCAATGAAGAGTAGCAAGCAAAGCCAAACCTGAGTGTGTTCGGTATAGTTGCCACTGTCGCTGATGTAGCTCAATAAGTTTCTGGAAGGTTCAGTTCCAATACTCAAGTAGTGGACTGAGTCTCGCTGAAACCCTTCCTCAGGGACAGCGGTAGTCAGGCAGTTCAGGGAGCCTTGTCGTGCCTCAGGAGTACGGCAGCACAACGTGGTAACGGTGCCGAGCCTTCGTTGCGGATACACAGGGTATGGTCCGGGTGCTTCCGCATGAAATGCTGCGCATTCCATTCATTGACGCAGGCTGACCCGGGCAGGAGGGAACGGGGCAAGGGCAGGGCGCTTCTTCTCAGTTTTTGGCCATTCGATGGTGTAGGAGGTGGGTGTTGGGGTTCGGGGGGCTCCTCATCAAGTGTGTCCAGCTGCTCCATGTGGTGACGAGCATGTAGGTGGGCCTTGAGGGAACCCGTTGCCAGAGTCTCATCGCATTCTGGGCATTGAACGTGAAGGCGCTGGCGGGCACCATAACTCAGCCCAACACCTGTCATACGACGCCTATAAGCATAGGGTGAAATTTCCACTGTTCAGCGCAGGGAAACAGATCATCGCTTTTGTTTTCTGTACGTTGGTGTGGAGGCCAATGCGACGAAACAAACCAATGAGAATGTTCAGAGCATTCTGCAGCCAAGGCGTGGCAGTGGCCGAAAGAAGAAGTTATCAGCGTAAAACAAAGTTAGCCGATCAGCAACAGTAACTCCAAATCCTTCCTCAGCAATATCTCCGTTGTCGTCAACCCGGTGGCAGCCACTCTCGAAGGACGGCATCGACGGCAATATTGAATATTGTAGGGGACGGGATTCCGCCTTGGGTGACACCTCGGGAAGCTTTGAGGCCTCACCATGGAATCCACTCTGGCGTGGGACAATGGTTTGGTCACGCCACCAAGGTTTCCAGAAGACTCAGGCAGCGTGGTCCAACTCTGTATTGTCGTAGAGTCTCAATTAAGCGGGGACGGTCAATGTTGTCGTAAGCTTTCTTCAAATCTAGAAAAATTTGAAACAGTGGAATTCCGCGAATGTGTGCCAGCTCTTGTTGCAGTTTAGCTTCAATTATGGCAGTGCCAGTTCCGCGCTTGCGGGTGAAACCGTGGAGACAGTCGTGGAACGACACCTGGCTGGAGATTCTGAGATCAATAATCTTCTCACAAATTTTCCATGCATGTTCTATGAGTCCAATACCCCGAGCTCCGCCATCTGGCTTCGGAAGGACGGCTTGGTTGGAATTTCGCCTGTTCTGAAAATGTACTGGACGAGCTCAACTAATTTGTCCCAAATCTCGGTTGGGCTGGGGTGGTTTGTCATCTGAATTACGAGAGCTTCGGTGGAACTCCTCTGGAAACGCTCGCTTAATCCATTCTTTGAACGTATCTGCAGTGAGTTTGGACGGACCAGCGGCTCGATGGTTGCGTAGCTTCAACGTGGCGGCTTTGATTTCTTCTTCATCCGGAATGTCATCGCGAATGTTGGCTGGGGTAGCAAGGACAGGGACTGGGTCTCCCGGAGGGCATGGAGTTTCGGCGGTATACAAAGCTTTGAAATCATCAACCACTTTTGTAAGGTCTTTTCGGCTGGGCTTTTGAGGCCGGTCTTCCATATGCCGGTACCAGGTTTTGAGCACACCATAGGATGCCTGCAAGTCCTTCGAAGGGCCTTCAAGGTGGGCTTGAATTTCTTGGCCAGCAGCTTCAGTGCGTCGCTGTCGATTCGTTTCAGCAGAGAGTTGATTTGTCGTTGAGGCGTCTGGCTTCTGCTTTGTCGTGGTTAGGGTTGCGCCGTAGCGAGCAGCGCGTGTCCATAACTTTCAGTGTATCGGGGCAATCCAATTGGGACGCTTCTTGCGGGTCTGTAGTTCCGGAGGGGGACACTGGGCTAGACTTGTTCAAATAAGGGTGTCGCTTTCTGCAGTGGGCCAAACTTGGCAAGGTTGAGAGGAATTGTTTGCGACCTTTCAGGTAGCGTTTATGCTCCGGGTGGGCTTGACCAAGTAGCGGGCCATCAGCATGTAATGGTCCGAGGTGTAGTGCCGGGGTTCTTGATGCTGATTGATTCAAAGAGGCGTCGATCGGTGCCCAGAATGTAGTCGCAGCGGGATCTGTAGGTGTGTTGGTATCCGATCGGTATTGGAACCATGTTTTCCTGTGGGTGAAGGATTTTCGTTGCACAAAATGTTGAAGGAAGTCTTCCATGCCGTAGGTAGCTAGAACGGAGTGAACCTGACGGGAGCGGTTGGTGGTGAGTTAGACAGGTCTACATTAAGGTTCTCCGAGGAGGATTGGTTTACTTTGGGGAATCGTTCAAAGGCTTCAATCAGGTAGGGCACATCGTCTAAATTTGACGGGGGAAGGTAGGCTCCGATGAGTGGGGTATGTTGGGAGCCAGATGCAAGGATGCAGGATAGAACATTCGGCCATGTCACGGGTAGATTCCACAATGCCAATTGTTGGGGGCAGGTTCAGCTTGGACATAGAGGGCAAGGCCACCTTGTGTTTTTGTTTGTGTAGGTGCAGAAAATATCTAGCCACAAGGGTGCCTTAGTGTGAACTTCGTTGGGAATTTTGGCTTCGTGCGAGGCAGAGGCCAACTTGTTGTTCTTCAAGGTTGCGAGCTAGTAAAGTGAGTCGATTGTTGCGGCCATCTTGCATGTTATTGTAAGTGGCGAGTTTAACTCCAGGAGGTTTGTTTGGTTTCCTGTTTCGGTTGGTGATTGGTTGGATGCTTTTGATGCTTTGGCTCGTCGTTGTTGTTTGAGTTTTTGCCGGCGGTGGTGACGGGATTTGGTGACGTTGTAGAACGTTGTTGGCTATAGGAATGTGGCTCGTAGGTTGGGGCTTGATAAAGCAGGGTGGCTTTACTGTTGTACTCTCCATGTGGTTTGGGCACACCACTCGGTGGTGGTGGCAGGTGGAGTGAGGTGGTTTCCCGGGAGGACTCGGATGAATCAAAAAGGGGCAAAGGCGAGTGGGATCGCCCATTGTTTGGCTGCAAGGGAATGGAATTGTGCTGTAGGTTTCGTTGGCGTCGGTATGGCTGTAATTGTCGTCTGAGGTTGGATCCAGGGAATTGAGGTCGGCCTTGTGGTTGCCGGAGTGGACCAAGGTAGGTTGGTCTTTGTGTTGGCTGGGCTGGTTGGCTGCCTGGTTGGTTTCTAAGGTGGCTGAAAGAGTAGTTCAGTTGGCGTGTCCTGTTGGTGGGGAGTTGCTGGTGTATTACCCATGGTTGTTGGTGTAGCTAGTAGCTAGTTGCTAGCAGCTAGAGTGTATCTGTGCTGGAAAAGCTTCAAAGAATTCTGGATAGAATTTCCCACGGGGAGAGCAGATCGGCTGAGGTACGGCTGAGAGTTTCCTACCGAGAGAGATTGGCTGGGGCTGCCGGATCGGTCGAGAACAACCCAGAGAGATCGGCTGGGGCTGCCAGATCGGTCGAGAACAATTGATTGGTCCACAACAGCGAGAAGGGGAGCAGGAAGAACGTCCAGACGGTTTTGGTAGAGTTTCTACAGAGGAGAACAGAGACAATGGCAGAATTGCCGTTGCTGCTCCAGAGGAGCAACAACAAGAGAACAAACTCCAACAAGTGTATATGAGTTTTCTAATAGTAGTGGAAGCAGTGTGGGTAGTAACGGTGCAGATTCTGTCTAGCAATGGCAGTGTATTATACCTGCTCCACTTGCCACGTGGAGGGGTAGATACCTGTGTCGGTACCCATTTTCCTGTGGAACAGTGTTTGTGGCGCCTGGTTGACAGTATTCTGTATCATTGTAACGGTGAGGCAATGAAGAGTAGCAAGCAAAGCCAAACCTGAGTGTGTTCGGTATAGTTGCCACTGTCGCTGATGTAGCTCAATAAGTTTCTCGGAAGTTCAGTTCCAATACTCAGTAGTGGACTGGCCTCGCTGAAACCTTCCTCAGGACAGCGGTATCAGGCAGTTCAGGGAGCCTTGTCGTGCCTCAGGAGTTTCCACCTCCAGTAGGCACCAGCCAGGACTTGGCCGTGTCAGTCAGACAGGAGGGCCAGCAGAGCTCTCTGCTGGGCCTTTTGGGCCAGCTCCTCAGGAGCTGGGAGCCTTCGTTATTCAATCGTGCAGTGGCAGTCTGGAACAACTATCTGCTACCTCCTACTGCCTTCTGCCGCCTCAACAGGATTGGTATCAATTGCTGCGGTATCAAAGGGCTACAAGCTAATCAGATGGTCTCAATCTTTCGTACTATTTCTTAACTATGGTAGAAAGGACGTCTTTCTTGCTGCTTTGCGTGGAGATAAGCCAGCTGTGGGTGCTGGAGCTGTAGGCCAGCATAGCTTTGGGCTATCTCTGACGGGATCCAGAGCTCCGCTCCTAAAAGTTATCGCTCCCCACGAGTGCGTATGGATCCGCTCTCATGGGAATGCCCGATATACGATTAGTTACTAACTAACTACAATACATACCCCCCCCATGAACGGAACACTAATGGGCCACTCGCATCGACTGCTAGTGGACCAATGTGAGATGGGAGATCTCACAAGTGGAGGGAACTTGCATGGTTGGTCGGTTGCTGGACAAAGGTAGGCGCAAATGGATTGCGTGCTTCATCAGCATGGACCAGACTCGGTAGGTGTCGGCGTGGCTGGTTGCTATCATAGCTGTGTGTTTGTTTTCTTCATATGTGACAAATATTCGTGGCTTTGCCACAGGCCAATTCAGCGTGGCAAGCTCTCAGTGGAGCGGCCTTCTTGCCCCGCAATCATGTCCTTGATGGTGGGATGGTGGGCTGTACCAGAGGGACGTAGTCTAGTTGCCCGTCCGAAAATCCAGGGACGGTGCTAGCGCACAGACTGGAGTGCCCCAATCCTATGGGCATCATGGAAGCAAACACATGATGGAACCACATGCCAACAACTGGTGACTCCACATTGCCTTGGAGAAGGAGACTGGGCCTTGGTGCTTGGGACTCGGGCTCATCCTGTAGTGTGGCTGTGTTGCTGCTGTCAGCCATTGGTCGACTGGATGGCATTGCTGCCAAAGGGATCCTCTCATTCGGCAGCAAGGCTGGTGCATTGGAGTACGAAGAGGGGTGTCCGGGAGGACCAAGCTGGGATCCTTGGTGTCGTTCGACTGGTGGACACTTGGATCTCTAGCCAAGGTTGGTTGTTGCACGACTGCCTGGAAGTGTCCCTTGAAAGATCCTGCTTTGGGCGTGCACTTGCTTGCAAGGGATCCTCTCATTGTGGACAGCCTGGTGCACTGGGAGTACCAAAGGAGGTGGCTCTGCTAGAACTGAGTTGGTTGCCTTTGCCTTCATGGGCACTGTGAGGCATCACATGGGTGGTTGTCTCTGCTGGCCATAGGACGTGAGGTCCTGTTGGAAGGAACTCAGTGGTATTGATTACAGGTGGGACTTCCTGGAATGATGGAATCGTCCTGCTAGAATCCTGTTGCTGTGGCTACAGTACTGAGCCTCCCCATAACGCCAATGTAGAAGCTGGGTTACTACTGGAGCTGAGGTAGGCAGCTCTGTAATCTCCCCATCACCCAGTGTGATGCATTGGGAGCACCAGCTAGGGCAAAAAGGTTGCACTGGAGGCAACCAAGGGAGTGGCATTGGGCCAGCTGGTTGTTGTGTCGCTGTGAACTCGCAAATGACGAGTGGCCCTGGCGACTCCCAACAAGCTGGCTTGGAAGATGACTGGTGGTTGTGTTGTGGCACCGATCAAAGAGGACGTGACAGGTAGCTTCCCACAGCAAGTCTGGTTGGGGCTGGATGCTGGTGAGTCTCAGGACTGGCGCAAATACCGGTAGGTGGAGCGTGTGGCTACATTGCTGTGGTTGTTGGAAGCAAAGAGAGCCTCTGCCAGTCGCCGCAGCGTGGGCTGGCACTAGTGTGCAGGCAACTCCCCACAATGCGCTTGGGAGATGCGTGGTACGGTTGTGCCTCCTGGATCGTGGCTGCTTTCTTGCTTGAGGGAGCTGCTTTTCCGTTGATCTTCTCGAGGTTTCGACTAAGGGACTTAGTCAAGCAGCTGACGAATGCACCACTGCGCTCTTCAATGAGACTATCCAAGGGTAGTGCACAGGGGCTTGGATAGAGGTGTGCTGCTGCATCCAGACTCTTCATGATGGCCCGAATCGTATCCTCCCGGGTTGTAGGGGAAGTGTGACTAGTTGTTCTTGGGCTAGCCTTGTTCCTTGGTTCTCTAGCCTTCGGGCTCTTCCGTGATGGTTGAGGAGTCACTGTGGGTATGTGAGTGACATTGTTGCTTTCTTGCTGCCAAGGAAGAGGTGTAGGCTGTACTTGTTGGTAAACACTTGGTTTCCAGCTCTTGTAGCAGTGCAATAAACCTTGCTCAACTGTAATCTAGAATCCACAAAGATGACTGCTTGGGGCCTTGCTATGGGCCTGGAAATTCCAATCTAGGTGTAGTTGAATAAGGTAGCCAAGTGTAGAGGGTCTGGAACCTGCTGCTTGAATTGCGTGGTGCTGGGATTGGCTTGGATTTGTGAATTTTGCCTCACTGGAAGGTAGCTTACTGGGACAGATAATCTCCCCACAAAACCTCCTAAAATATCAAGGTGAGATACCCACTGGCCAATTGAAGGGTGGCGGTGACAGCGGTACCA